GTGAATTTAGACCAATGCATACATCTGTATAATGTAAACCCTTCTTAATATCAATATATAAAATGTTAACCATCAACTCAGAAAATTCCCTCATTCTCCTACCCAGGCAAATTCTACCCTTACTCCATGCCCAAGAGGGAACCACTTTAAAAATTTTTTTTTCTACACTCAGTTAGTTTTGTTTTTTTCCCCAATATTTCATATAATGGAATCATATAGTATGTACTCTTTTAGGTAAGGCTTCTTTCACTAAGTATAATGTTCTTCATCCATCCATGCTTTTGTGTGTATCAGTATACAGATCCTGTATGTGTTTGTTAAGTGTATACTTTTTCATTTTCTCGTGTGATTATATATTGTGTTGTGTTTTAATTTCAGTTTCTGCATTTCTATTGTTAATTTTTAGAAATGTGATTGATTATTTTGGGTGTTGATCTTGTATCCTGTGACCTTGTTGAACTCATTTACTAGTTCTGGGAGATTTTTTATAGATTCCTTGGGATTTTCTATGTAAGCAATCATGTAATCTACAAACAGAGACAGTTTCATTTCTTTGTCTGATCTGTTTTATTCCCCCCTCCTCTCCCTTCCTTCCTTCCTCCCTCCCTCCTTTCCTCCCTCCCTCTCTCTTTTTCTCTCTTTCTCTTCTTTGCTGCCCTCCTCCCTTTCACTGTCTGTTCATCTATCCATGCCTTATAGTGGCTAGAACTTCCAGTATTTGGTTGAATAAGGACAGTGAGAGTAGATATCTTTGCCTTGTTCTGGATCTTAGAGGGAAAATGTTCAGTCTTTCATCATTGGATATGATATTAAATGTAGTATTTTTATAAAGGCTTTTTATCAAATTGAGATAATTTCCTTTATTCCTAACTGGCTAAGAGTTTTATCATGAATGAGTGTTGGATTTTATCATATGCTTTTTCTTTGTCAATTGGTATGATCATTTAATTTTTCTTATTTAGCATACTGACATGGTGAATTATGTCTACTGTTGAACAAGCTTTTCATACCTGGAATAAATTCTACTTGGTCATGGTGTATAGTTTTTTATACATTGTTGGATTCTATTTGTCTGTTATTGAGGATTTTTCCATCAAAGCTTGTGAGAGATACTAGTTTTCTTTTTTTGTACTGTGTTTGTCTGGTTTTAGTGTCACAGAAAGGAGGCCTGATAAAATGAGTTGAGAGGTGTTCCTTCCTCTTCTGTTTTTCTGGAAGATGCTGTATAAAAGTGGTGTGTTCTTTTTTAAATGATTGGTAGAATTCTCCAGTGAAACGATCTGGACCCAGAAATTTCTTTCTTTGGGGGCTTGTAAATCAACAGTTAGTATGTTTAGATTGTCTATATAACCTTGGTTTAACTTTGGTAGTTTGTGGTTTTTGAAGTATTGGTCCATTTCTGTAAATTGTCAAATTTATGAGCATACACTTGTTTGTAGCATTTCCTTATTAACTTTTTAATGGCTGCAATATCTTTTTTCATTTTATTTATTTGTATTTTTTAAATTGAAGTATCATTAATATACAGTCTTATATTTTTTTAAAATATGTAACACAGTCGTTTAACAGTTACCCATATTATTAAGTCCTCAACTCCCACTAGTGTGGTTACTATCTGTCAACATAGAAAAATGTGGCTGCAATATCTTTGTAAATGGTTTCTTTTAGCTTTTTGAGCATATTTTAAATTGTTGACTTAAAGTCTTTGTTTAGTAAGTCCATTGTCTGTACTTGTTCAGGAATAGTTCCTATTAATTTTCTTTTCTTGTATATGGATCACACTTTACTATTTCTTTTTTGTTGCAGACTGGTCATGGACATTTTGAATATGTGACAACTCATAATTTTTTGTTGCAGACTGGTCATGGACATTTTGAATATGTGGCAACTCTGGAAATTAGATTCCTTCCCCTCCCCAAGTTTGCTGCTTGTTGCCATCTTTGTTTAGGAACTTTTTTTTTTTTTTTTGAGAGGGCATCTCTCATATTTATTGATCAAATGGTTGTTAACAACAATAAAATTCTGTATAGGGGACTCAATGCACAGTCATTAATCAACCCCAAGCCTATTTCTCAACAGTCTCCAATCTTCTGAAGCATAATGAACAAGTTCTTACATGGTGAACAAGTTCTTACATGGTGAATAAGTTCTTACATGGTGAACAGTGCAAGGGTAGTCATATCACAGAAACTTTCAGTTTTGATCACGCATCGTGAATTATAAACAGTCAAGTTAGATATGATTATTCATTTTATTTTTATATTTGATTTATATGTGAATCCCATATTTCTCCCTTATTTTTTTTATAAATAAAATGCTGAAAGTGGTAGGTAGATGCAAGATAAAGATAGAAAGCATAATTTAGTGCTGTAAGAGGGCAAGTGTAGATGATCAGGTCTGTGCCTATAGACTAAGTATTAATCCAGGCTAGACAAGGGCAACAAAACATCCACGGATGCAGAAGATTTCTCTCAAAACAGGGGGGGGTGAGGTTCCTAGCCTCACCTCTGTTGATCCCCAGTTTCTCATCTGATGGCCCCCCTGCAACTGTGCCTGTCTTATGTTGTTCCTCTCTTGAGGAATCTTACCCGTCTCTGGCTAACCAGTCATCTTCCGGGGCCATACAGGGAAATGTAAATTTGGTAAGTGAGAGGGAGGCCATATTGTTTGAAAAGATTAGCTTTTTACTTCTTTGCAGATTTATGCCCTGTGGCTTCTATGCCCAGCATTTGTCTTGAGGTATCTTTACCACTTGGAAGTGTTTAGGAACTTTTTAGAAATAATTTCATAAAGTCTGCAATTTTTGTCATGTGTGGCCACTGAAGTAATTGTGCTCTTAACTTAGTCATCAGCCAGTGCTCTGTTTGACAGAGATTTCCTTAAGTACCTGGGACCAAAAGGGAAAAACCTCCCAGTCTGTAGAAAGGCTCTTTGTACATGTGTTGAGGTCCACTTTCAATACTCAACCAGACTGTCTTCAAGTCTACCTGTTGGAAGTTTTCAACAGAAGCTTCTGATTTCTCTAGTGATATCTTGTGTTTATGGTGTAGGCTGATTCAGGGTTGCTATGTGTTCTTTCATACGCAACAGTAATAATAGCATTATACATAGCAATAATAGTACTATAAATCAATTTGGGTTTCTGGACCCGATTCCAATGTGTGTATATGTGTGGGAGGGTGGTCTTTCCACACATACACCAAGCAATTCTCAAACACCAGCAGGGTGATAGAGAACTCAACTCGACTCTGATGCTATCTGCCCTGATATAGCACGAGATTCCCGGGTTAAGTGCTCTATTCTACAAGACTGCCCTCCACCCACCACTCCAGATGTCAATTGCAAGCCCCAGGCTGTACCTGTGTTTCTGACCTACTGGCTGTAGACTGGAGGTTCCAATGAACTCCCCCTTAGGTTTGATTATTTTGATAGAGTGGCTCTCACAGAATTCAGGAAAACACTTATGTTTAACAGTTTAATAAAAGATACTGTAAAGGTACAAGTTAACAGTCAGATGAAGAGATGCATAGGGCAAGGTCCCAAATAATGGAGCTTCTGTCCTTGTGGAGCTTGGGGCCTGGAGCCCTGGTACATGGAAGTATTGTGGTTCTTCAAGTATAGAAACTCACATACTGAGAAGCAGGATCTGAGATGTTCTCAGGGGTTTTTCTGAGGGCTTCATTGCAAGCCATGATTCCCCCAATTATTTTCCATTGGCTGATTCAACCTCCAGCCCTTGCCAGCCAGGTTAAAGTCTCTCATTAACATGACAGAACACCCATTTCACCTTTAAGACTCTGAAGTGTCTTCAGAAACTGTGGATGAAGACCAAATATACCTGGGAAATACCTATCTGGTCAGACCAATGACCAATGTGTGTGTCTTATGACTCATTATATCTCAAGGAATATTAGATTATTTTCAAAAAAATCAAGAGTTTTTCTAAATACCTGCTTCCTGCTTGGCTTTGTACCTCCCCACTTTACTTTGGATCTCCCTTTTGTGCTGCTTCTCAGAAAGTTTGGCTTTACAGCTCTCCCAGCAGTGTCTTGCTTGTATCTCATTTTACTTGATGCTTGTTAGTCAGGTGGTGGTGGCAGGTAAGGGAACAGGGGCATTCTCTGATGTTCTTAAGTCTCAGTCTTAGGTGAACCTGAGTCTCCCCAGGGGAGTTATTCACGAGTTCTGATCCCTTCTGTGTATTTAATATAATGCTAGCATGTATTCCTACCCCTCCTGCAATGAAAGAGCTGTTCTTTTACTTCCCTAGCTAACCCCTCCGAGCAGCAGTGGTTTGCACCAGCGTTCTCATGCTGTAGTGTTTATTGCCCTCCCCTGCAGATTAAGGCTTTAGTTCCTTAGTGGAGATAAGGATGGAAGGTCTAAGCAGACTTCTTAGCAGAAGCTTGTTGGTCCCCTTTTCCAGCTGCAGAGGGTTTCCACTAGTGTCCTTAGGTACAGTTTTTGTTGCTGCTTCCCTGCAGATTAATATTCTTGGTCTGTGGAAGAAGTAGAGCTTGTGACTATTCTCTGTCCCAGCCAATATCACAGGGGAAAGCTTTCTGATTTTTCCCATCCTTCCCTATAAGCACCTGGTAGGTTTCCTAGAAGAAAAGTCCGGTGGAATGTATAGACCCCCTTATTTCTGGGCCCCCTAGGGGATTCATGGTCTTATACTAGCCCGTATTCTGCCTTTAGCACTTTATTGAGGACTTTGAGGTGAGTTTTTGTACCAGTACTCAGGGGCTTGTATCCCAGGTAAGCAAGTGTAGCGGTTCTGTTCTCCCTGTAGGCATCTCTGTCCATTCAGATTTTGGATAACTTGATTGATCTGGGATCTCAGTTCTCTGGTGGGTTTGTCTGTTTAATCTGCAACTTATCCAACTTTTATCTTGTTGTAAGGGTGGGAGGATGCTCTTTTTATCTCTCTAGAAAAAGCTGAAACTGGAAGTTTTAAAATCCTAATTTTCCTAGCATTTTTCTTCTTCTTTTTGACTTAGGAAGCAGAAACTCAATATGAAGAGCAGATTGGTAAAATTATTGTGGAGACACAAGAACTTAAGTGGCAAAAGGTGAGTATCTTTACCCTCAGATTATTATTTTTGCATCTATTTAAAATGTATTCTAATCCTTAGTGTCAAAGCTAATTTTTTTTATTAAGTATCATTAATGTACTATCTTATGAAGGTTTCACATGAGCAGCATTATGGTTACTACATTCACCCATATTATCAAGTCCCCCACCACATACCCCATTACAGTCACTGTCCATCAGAGTAGTAAGATGTTATAGAGTAACTATTGGTCTTATCTGTGCTGTACTGCCTTCCCCATGACATACCTATATTATGTGTGCTAATTATAATGCCCCTTAATCCTCTCTCCCCACCCACCCATCCTCCCCAACCCCTTCCCTTTGGTAACCACTAGTCCCTTCTTGGAGTCTGTGAGTCTGCTGCTGTTTTGTTCCTTCAGTTTTGCTTTGGTATACTCCACAAATGAGTGAGGTAATTTGGTACTTGTCTTTCTCTGCCTGGCTTATTTCACTGAGCATAATACTCTCTAGTTCCATCTGTTTTGTTGCAAATGGTAAGATATGTCTTCTTCTTATGGCTGAATCACATCTTTTTTATCCATTTATCTACTGATGGACACTTAGGTTGCTTCCATATCTTGTAAACAGTGCTGTGACACACACAGGGGTGCATATGTCTTTTTGAATCTGTGATCTTGTTTTCTTGAGGTAAATTCTTAGGAGTGGAATCACCAGTGGGTCAAATGGTATTTCTATTTTTAGTTTTTTGAGGAGGTAAAGTTAATTTTTAAATTCCTAAACATATTTGGGAGATTGTGCATCATTTTAAACAGAGTCTCAGGAAAATTACAGCTAAAACTGTTATTAACATTTGGGCTTAAAGAAAACCAAGAGTAAATATTTTTTCTGGCTTTCTGATAAGGAATAGCTGAGGATAAAACTGAGGATGACTCTGTAAACCATTATGAACTATTTCGTGTTTAAGAAACATACTGTGTGTTATAGAGGAGTCAAAATAGTTTTTAAGAAGTGAAAACTCAGAATAATACTGTATTTATTTTCCCAGGCTGTTGTTACATATTATAACCAAATGTAAAAAAATAGTTCAAAAACTGATTTTCTCTCTCTCTTTATCTATACAGAAGAATTTGTGTTAGTTCTCATGCCTTTCCACCAAAGTACTCTCAATAGCTGACACTTGAAAGCTTAATTATGATGGCCTGTCTTTTCACTATTTGGCAATATTGAAACAGGAACTTGGCAGTAACATATCAGAACCAGAATTGAAGTGACAGAGAATAGACCGAACTAGAAATGATGAAAATTTTGAGCCTGCACAGACCAACAAGGTTGTTTATAGAGTATGGGAGGAAAACTAGAGTTGAATTATGTAAGGTACAGGTCTGATCAAAAAGACCTGTCTGTGGAAAGGAAAAACAGGTAAACACCAAGTACAACCTGAACCTCCAGGCAGATTTCAAAATGTAATCATAGCTTAGTTTTGGATAGAGTAAAGGTATAAAGTTATCAGGACCCTTAAGTTAATCAGTAAATTTAACATAGTCCAATTAAAAATGTCAAGAATGTGTATATGGTACTTAGGCTGATTCCAAGAAATCAACATTTAGAAAGAAACATATTAAGAGTGGCTGGGAAAATTTTGAAAAAGAAGAGGATGAAATAGCCACACTAGATTCTTAAGTATATTCTGAACTATAGTAATTAAAATAGCTTTCTTTAGATACATGAATAGATAGGTTATTACTTAGAACATAATAGAATCCTGAAGTAGACACAAATACATAATACAGTTTAGTGAATTTAAGATAAAGGTGATATTTCCAATGAGGAGGTTCCTCAAAAAACTAAAAAAGAAATACCAGTTGACCCAGGAATTCCATTCCTAGGAATTTACCTGAAGAAAACAAGATCACAGATTCTAAAAGACATATGCACCCCTCTGTTTATTGCAGCACTATTTACAGTAGTCAAGATACGGAAGCAACCTAAGTGTCCATCAGTAGATGAATGGATAAAGAAGATGTGGTACATATACACAATGGAATATTATTCAGCCATAAGAATAAGAAAACAAATCCTACCATTTGTAACAACATGGATGGAGCTAGAGGTTATTTATGCTCAGTGAAATAAGCCAGGCGGAGACGGACAAGTACCAAATTATTTCATTCATTTGTGGAGTATAACAACAAAGCAAAAGCAGAACTGAAGGAACAAAACAGCAGCAAACTCACAGACTCCAAGAAGGGAAGTGGTTACCAAAGGGAAGAGGTTGGGGAGTTTAGGTGGTGAGGGTGGGGGAAGGGAATTAAGGGGCATTATAATTAGCACCCACAATACAGGTAGGTCACCATGAAGGCAGTATAACATGGAGAAGACAAGTAGTGACTCCATAGCATTTTATATGCTGACGGAGAGTGATTTTTGCAGTGGGGGATGGGGCTTGATAATATGAGTGAATGTTGAAATCACAATGTTGCTCATGTAAAACCTTCGTAAGATTGTATATTATTTGTATATTGGAAATCTGAGTAGCTTATTGACTCTGAGGGAGAGGCTTTGTGATGATGGCAGGGTTTATGATATGAATAAGAAAATTGCAAGATTTCTTTTAATATTTAGAGGAAGTTCACTTTGCAAGTTTGAGGATACAATTGGAAGTTGGAAGTGTGATTGTCAGAGCAGCATTTGCTTGCCTGATGTTTTTTCCTCTTCATTTTCTTAGCTGGTTCAGGATAATTTATTTCCAGCATCCTTTCTGCTTATATACAAGTGTCTTTCTCAAGAGACCCACTCTTCTGGTGCTTGATGATTGGAGTAATAGCATCAAGTTGTTTTACCCGTAAAGCTGTCAGTTTCTTCTGCTTTTGTTCTATGACTTTTTGAAGGTCTAGATATGAAGATCTAGTAATAGGTCTTTCCTTTTCCAGTTATTGTAGCATGTTAAATCTCCCTATTTCTGGATTTAGGCTGTTCATGAAAATTAGGAGAGCTGGAGATCACATCTACTTCAGAATATACTCCTTGAAGAACCTATCCCTGAGGTCTCCAATAAACACATTCTTTTTCTGTTTGCAGGATTGTATTAGAGTCTTAATTTATGTCATGGAAAAACTTTGGGCAGTAGCTTCTAAAAGATTTTGTCCAACATCTGCAGCTTTCCTAAATCTGTCTGGTTTCCTATGCAGTTGGGATTTCCAAGTCATTCTTGGGATCTTCTCACTTTTCCATTTGATTTTTTTTTTTTTCATATAAGAATTTGAACCAGTGGGTATAGATCTGGGAACTGGAAGTATTATTTTTTAAAATTAGCTGTGGCAATTAAAGTATTTTAAAGTAATTGCTAACTTCAGGAAGAACTTAAAGTATGACAATAGAAATGTAATTATGGTATACTATATGACTCAGCATTGAATAAAAATTGCATAGTCATAATAATATAAATACTATCATGATTTAAGCCACAGTTTTTTTGTAATTCAATTCTTATGTAATTCCAGCTCTGTTAGAAGAATAAAGGGAGGAGGTATAGGGTGATGGTGTTACAAGAAAGCTAAACTCCCAACTATCATAATAGCAGGTCAGAAGGTAAATTTTTAAAATTAACAAAAACATGGAGCCCAATAACAGAAACATGGAGTCCAGTGACAGAAACATTTGAAAGTGGTTGCTGCTTTTAGATCTAGTTTTTTTAAATTATGAGAGTTATTTGATAAAAACAGAAGAAAAAGATTTTAATCATCTTGAATCAAAAGGACAGAACCCACAACTTCTACCAAAAAAGGGAAGAATGGAAGAAAAAAAAAAGGAATCATGTATGTGGATTTTTTTTTTCCCAGAATAACCCTGTAGTAGTTTCGGTTTTGTGAAGAATTATTTCAATGAATTTGAAGAATTATATGTTTGTATGTGAATATTTGTGTTTAGATAATAAATTGGGTTCCTTTGGAAGCTGTAAGACTGTAGTGTGCTTGTGTATCAGGAATGTTAATAACTTTCAATGATATTTTCTTGAAGAAAACTTTGGAGCTAGTGATGTTCAGAGTTTAAAAAATTTTAATGCAATGTGTTTTATCATGAAGCAACTGGCAGCAAAATTATTGTATGCTGATTCCACAACAATTAAAAATCATAAAATGGTTTAAAGTTGCATTTCAAGAGCATAAAATAATACATGGCAATAAATGTTTAACTTTTATTAAAATTGTGAACCCAATTAAAATTTAAAACTGAAAGAGTTGCTAGAATTTGTTTTAATTTTTCATAATTTTTAAAATAGGAGACTCTTGAGAATCAAAAGGAAACATTAGCAAAGCAACACAAAGAAGCAATGGCAGTTTTTAAAAAGCAGGTAATTTCATAAGGATAGAGAAACACTATAGTTTTCAATATTGCACCCCTCCCCATATGAATATTATGACAAGTTGTTTTCCATGCCTACTGAAGACAAAAAGTTACTGGAAGCAGGAAATGAATAAAGATATTTTGAATCACAGTTGATAGTGAAGAGCATAAATGTAGTAGAATGAGTTAATGAGAAATTGGGAAAACTATTTTCTTGGAGATGTATTTTCATCTGTCCTACATAAATTAGGTTAGTGGTGTATGTGTTCTTGTTCTTTCTCTCCCTTCTTCCATTCTCTTTTTGATTAGAATATCCTAAGATCTTACCTTTTCCACTTCACTCCTTTACTCAAGCCAGAGTAGGAAACTGATGAAACACTGAGATAAAAGTAGGGAGATGTGAAGGATGAGATATGTTTATAATACTAACTATCTGCAACTAAGAGTGGTAAAAATTAGAAAAAAATAACTGAAAAAGATTTAAAAAAATGAATAGCAGCTCCTTCAGTTATTTTGAATTCTCTAACTCTCCTTTACTACCGCAAATTGCTCTTTAGTCCCTAGTTAAAAAACATAAAAGTTAAGAAATGTGCTCATGGAAAATATCCCTGGAAAGTGTTTTTTTCTTATAGCCATCCTGACGTCACTGTTTATTCTTCCTTTCTCTTTCCCTCTTTTTTGTCTTCCTGTACATACAAGTGTGTGTGTTTAGAAAGAGAAATGTGTAAAAAGAAATAAACATATGTAACATAAATTGCTATTGGGTATGAATTTGTTTAAGCAGATGATAAACTTTCTTCCTTTTAATCTGAAATTGGCCTCACTTAAGTTATGGGAGTTTTAATTGAAAGGTAAGGAAGCAGAAGCCAAATATACAGCATAGTATTGTCTAGGAGAGAATAAGTCTATGTCTCTATTATCACAAGGGACTTTGGGCGAGATAAGAATACCCAGGCATCTATCTGAAGGATAAAGGAGAAAGTGCTGTTGGTTCCTTTCTTTCTTTTTTGTTTTTCTTTTTAAAGAAAGGATTCTTGAATGTAAATGAGAGATATGGAAAATGATATGGAAATGTTCCAAAAAGTTTATTTCCTGACACCTCTTGTGTTGCTTGGAATATTTAGTTTTTTTTGTTATGTTCACTTTAGTTTTGCTGTTTTAAAATGTCATTATTTATTATACTGTCAAATGCATATTTTAAAAACTTCAGAAAATAACTACTGCCAATGCAAATATGAATAATCTCTATTTCATAAAAGAGTACTTTTGGAAAATGTTACATGTTCTTACTTATGACTAGATGGGAAAATATTGAAACATTTAAGGAAAAAAAAATCTTCAGGAGGGAAAATCTAAACTTTCAAGTATAATTGGTATCTCCAATTAGTGTGATTAAATTGTATGTTTCCTTTGGTGACTCCCCCCGCCCATTTATATCTTTTATTATTTTATTTTCTCAATGTAAAAACATTCACATTATATTAAGTTTAAACAATAAAGATGTGTAAAATATTTCTGTAGTCTCACTAACCAGTTGTAAATCACTGTTAACAGTTTACTTACCTGTATTTGTTAAAATTATTTATCAGTTGCAGGTGAAGATGTGTGCCTTGGAAGAAGAAAAGGTATTTATTAATTTTTAAAATAATTTAAAGCAATAAGTACATTTAATTATCACTTGTTTACCATCATGGGAAAGAAACATTAGTAATAAACTAATGGAGACTGTTAATTGATTCAAATCCTAGAAATCAGGGAAATCATGTCATTTGACCTCTGTTATTTTGCTGTTGAGAATACTGAGGCCTAATAAGATTAAATGACTTGCTGAAGCTGAAGCTGTAGTTTTGAAGTGGCAGAGTTGAGACTGGAACCCAGATCTCTTCAGTCCCCAAATCTATGGTCTTTCTGCAGTATTGCAATGTTTCTGTTAAGTATAATGTATTCTTAGTGCTTTTCCAATATAATTGTCTTCTTTGAAAATCATTAAAAGGATTTGCATCTTGGTGCAGACCAACTGGAAAAGAGGACACCACTCCAAACAACCTTAGAAATTTATCTGGCATTAAATAAATATCTTCTCTAGCTATTTATTAGTTAATACATGTCTTTATTATGTCAATGAATGTACCATTTTAATATTAATGATTTTTACTTTGTTACTTTTAGCAAAAGACTCTTTAAAAAAATTCTCCCATATTTTTATATTTATAAAACAAATACATTTGTCTCTTGTTAATTAGAATATACTCTAGCTATATGAATTAAATACCTAATTATGTATTATCCATAGTTCTCAGGAATGCTCTGCTGATAAAATGATTTCTTATAATGTGATTTCCCACTTAATAATATTTGTAATTATAAAGGCCTGATAATTTTATATTTTGAAGTAATCAGAAATGCAAGTACATATGCAAGTTTAAAGTCTGTGAAGTATTAGGTTTAAAGTAGAGATTTTGGTTTTTGAGCTCTTGTATTTTCTCCATTAATGCTGTCATGTACATTGGAAAGTACTGAAGTAGTTTTTTACTTGAAGGGAAAATATCAACTTGTTACAGAAATAAAAGAAAAAGAAATAGAAGGATTGAAGGAAACATTAAAAGCATTACAGGTAAAGTAACTTAGTATCACTTAAAAAGTAATTTGGCATTGTAGCATTGTATCAGTGAAATGGCACTAAACATGTCAGCTAAGCAAACTGACAAAAGTTCATATATAGTATTTAATTCAGTACTTTTTTGCTGAAAGCCTTGAAGTTCATGTTAATAGGATTTTTGCTTCATTTTTTACTTTAAACAGTAATCTAATGGCTTGTATGTTGTAAAATTAAAATGAAATAGCATTAATTGAGTCATTATTATTTGCTAAGTATTGTGCTTAGTTTCTGCTAATACAAAGATGAAGAAAACATCACTTTTGACTTTAAGTTGATCATAGTCTCAGAGAATACAGAGGTATACAACTAATGATGAGTTACATTATATATAGTTATTGAAGGTCTACTATGTTCTAAGCACTGTGGATGCAGCAATGAATGAAAAATACCCTCTCCCCTTGTGAAACTTACAATTTAGTGGGGAAGACAGACAGTAAAAATAGCAAAATAAAAAGTAAATAAAGATAATTGGGGGAGAACATAACACATGATTTTTAAAGTATTACTCTATAGATAACAAAAATTACAAAGAATAGAATACATTTTTACAATGGAAGGATCCTGCTCATAATTCATTCACACTATAGTGTGGATTTGTTTAAGCATACAACAAACTTTCTTCCTTTAGTCTGATTAAGGTACTACAAGGGTTCCCTTTTTTCCACATTCTCACCAACACTGGGCATCCTCTTGTCTTTTTGATCATAGCCAATTTAATAGGTGTGAGGAGATATTTCATTGTGTGTTTGGTTTGCATTTCTGTGATTATTAGTGATGTTGAGTACCTTTTCATATGGCTGTTGGTCTTTTTGTATGTCATCTTTTAAGAAATGTCTATTTAGTTCCTCTGTCCATTTTTTAATTGGATTATTTGTTTTTGTTCTTGTAGTTGTTACTGAATATATAAGTTCCTAGTATATTTTGGATATTAACCCCTAATTAGATATGTGGTTTGTAAATGTTTCTCCCATTCTTTTCACTCTGTTGATTATTTCCTTTGCTGCGCAGCTTTTTTACTTTTATGCAATCCCACTTGTCTATTTTTGCTTTTGTTGCCTGTGCTTTTGGTGTCATATCCAAAAAATCATTGTCTAAACTAATGTCAAGAAGCTCTTTCCCTATTTTCATCTAGTAGTTTTATGATTTCTTGTCTTATGTTTAAGTCTTTAACCCATTTTGAGTTCATTTTTATATATGATAGGAGATTTTGTGTATAGTGTGAGATAGGGTCCGATTTCATTCTTCTACATGTGGATATCCAGTTTTTTCAACCCATTTATTGCAGACTGTCCTTTTCCCATTATATATACTTGGTAACCTTGCCAAAGATCAGTTGGCTGTGGACGCATGGGTGTATTTTTGGGCTCTCTGTTCTGTTTCATTGCTCAACATACCTGTTTTTATGCCAGCGCCATACTATTATATTGATTACTGTAGCTTTGAAATATATTTTGAAATCAGGAAGTATGGTAACTTCAGTTTTGTTTATCTTGCTCAAGATTGCATTAGGTGTTCAGGGTCCCTTTATGGTTCTATATGAATTTCAGGATGTTTTTCTTGTTTCTGTACACACTGACATTGTGATTTTCATAGGAATTCCATTGAATCTGTAGATCACTTTGGGCAATATGGACATCTTAACAATATTAATTCTTCTCATGAACATAGGATGTCTGTGTCTGTCTTATCTGTGTCTTTTTAAATTTCCTTCATTAGTGTTTTACAATACTCAGTGTGTAACTCTTTTACCATTTGGTTAAATTTGTTCCTTAATATTTTATTTGTTGTTATTATGAATGGAATTATTTTCTTCATTTCCTTTTCAGATTGTTATTTGTGTATAGAAATATACTGACTTTTGTATGTTAAATTTTGTATCCTGAAACTAATGAATTCATTTATTCTCATAATTTTCTTGTTGAGTCTTTAGGGTCTTCTACATAACTGATCATGTCATCTTCAAATAGAATAATTTAACTTTTCCTTTCTGTTGTGGATGCCTTTTATCTCTTTTTCTTACCTAATTGTTCTGGCTGGGACTTCCAGTATTCTGTTGAATAGCAGTGGTAGGAATGGGCACCCTGTCCTTATTCTGTATTATGGTGCTTACTGTGAGCTTTTTATATGTGACCATTATTGTGTTGAGGTAATTTCCTTGTATACTTACTTTTTTGAGAGTTTTTATCATGAATTTATGTTAAATTTTGTTAAATTTTTCTTTCTGTATCTATTGGGATGAACATATGGGTTTTTTCTTTCATTCTGTTAATGTGGTATATCACATTGATTGATTTGCATATATTGGATAATCCTTGCAACCCAGTGATAAGTCCCACTTGCTCATGGTTTATGATCCTTTTAATGTACTGTTGAATTTGGTTTGCTAGAATTTAATTGAGGATTTTTGCATCTACATTCATCGTGGATATTGGCCCTTAGATTTTTTTTTCTTGTGGTGTTTTTGACTTTGGTATCAGTATGAATCTGGCATCATAAAACTGAGTTTGGAAGTATTCCCTCCTTTTCTGTATTTTGGAAGAATTTAAGAAGGATTGGTATTCTTTGAATGTTTGGTAGAATTCATTGATGACGCCCTCTGGTCTTTGGATTTTCTTTTTTGAGGGGTTTTAAATTACTGATTCAATCTCCTTGTTACTGGTATGTTTCATCTTTCTATTTCACCTTTCTTCAGTTTTAGTAAGTTTTGTATTTCTAGGAATTTATCTATTTATTTCAGGTTATCCAATTTGGCATGTAATTGTTCCTTTTTATTTTTGAGGCATCCATTGTAATGTCTCCTCATTTGTGATTTTATTTAGAGATAGTTTTTGACTTAAACTCTATTTTCACTGATTTAAGTATAGTCACCCCTATTTATTTTTGACTACTATTTGGTATATCTTTTTCATTCCTTTACTTTCAGCCCATCTGTGTTCATCTATTTAAAGTGAGTCTCTTGTAGACAGTAAGTAGTCCCTCCTTATCTGTAGAGGATACATCTAATATCTGCAGTGGCTGCCTAAAACTATGGATAGTACTAAACTCTATATATGCTATGGTTTTTCCTATACATACATACCTATGATAATGTTTAATATGCAAATTTAGCATATACTAAGAAATTAACAGCAATAATGAAATAGAACAGCCACAAAAATATATTGTAATAAAAATTGTGTGAATTTGGTGTCTCTATCTCCAGCTATCTTCTTGTACTATATTCACTTTTCTTCCTGTGATGATGTGGGATAATAAAATTCCTATCTGATGAGATGAAGTGAGGTGAATGATATAGGCATTCTAACATAGTATTAGGCTAATATTGACCTTCTAATGATAGGTCAGAAGGAGGATCATCTGCTTCCAGACCATGGTTGACTGTGGGCAACTGAAATCAAAGACAGCGAAAGCACAAAGCCAGACTACTGTATCTATCATTGGATCTTTTTTTAAATCCATTCAGCTACTCTCTGTCTTTTGATCAGACAGTTTAATATATTTAAAGTAATTATTTTTTTGTTTTAATTTTTTTATTTTGATGTCATCAATCTACAATTACATGAGCAACATTATGGTTACTAGACTCCCCCTATCATCAAATCCCCATCACATACCCCATTACAGTCACTGTGATTCAGCATAGTAAGATGCTATAGAATCATTACTTGTCTTCTCTGTGTTGTACAGCCCGCCCCGTGCCCCACCCTATATTGTGTCTGATAATTGTAATGCCCCTTATCCCTCCCTTCCCACCCATCTTCCCCAGTCCCTTTCCCTTTGGTAACTGTTAGTCCATTCTTGGGTTCTGAGTCTGCTGCTGTTTTATTCCTTCAGTTTTTTTCTTTGTTCTTATATTCCACAGATGAGTGAAATCATTGGTACTTGTCTTTTTCTGCCTGGCTTATTTTCATTGAGCATAATACCCTCTAGCTCCTTCCATGTTGTTGCAAATGGTAGGATTTGTTTTCTTTTTATGGCTGAATAATATTCCATCGTGTATATGTACCACATCTTTATCTGTTCATCTACTGATGGACACTTAGGTTGCTTCCATTTCTTGGCTGTTGTAAATAGTGCTGTGATAAACATAGGGGTGCATATGTCTTTTTCAAACTGGGCTCCTGCATTCTTAGGGTAAATTCCTAGGAGTAGAATTTCTGGGTCAAATGGTGTTTCTATTTTTAGTATTTTGAGGAACCTCCATATAGCTTTCCACAATGGCTAAACTAATTTACATTCCCACCAGCAGTGTAGTAGGGTGCCCCTTCCCCCACATCCTCGCCAACATTTGTTGTTGTTCGTCTTTTGGATGTTGGCATCCTTACTGGTGTGAGGTGATATCTCACTGTGGTTTTAATTTGATTGATTAGCAATGTGGGGCATCTTTTCATGTGCCTGTTGGCCACCTGAATTTCTTCTTTGGAGAAGTGTCTGTTCAGCTCCTCTGCCCATTTTTTAATTGGCTTATTTGCTTTTTGTTTGTTGAGGTGCGTGAGCTCTTTGTATATTTTGGATGTCAACCCTCTATCGGATATGTCATTTATGAATATATTCTCTCATACTGTAAGATGCCTTTTTGCTCTGCTGATGGTGTCCTTTGCTGTACAGAAGCTTTTTAGCATGATGTAGCCCCTTTGTTCATTTTTGCTTTGTTTCCCTTGCCCGTGGAGATATATTCAGGAAGAAGTTGTTCATGTTTATATTCAAGAGATTTTTGCCTATGTTTTCATCTAAGAGTTTTATGGTTTCATGACTTACATTCAGGTCTTTGGTCCATTTTGAGTTTACTTTTGTGTATGTAGTTAGACAGGAATCCAGTTTCATTCTCTTACATGTTGCTGTCCAGTTTTGCCAACACCAGCTGCTGACGAGGCTGCCATTTCCCCATTGTATATCCATGGCTCCTTTATCATGTATTAATTGACCATATATGCTTGGGTTAATATCTGGACTCT